CTCCTTACATTAGGAAAGACATTCAGTTGTTGGAAAGGGTTACTAGAATGGTGCCTGTGATGGAAGGTTGTCATATGAGGAGAGGCTGAAATCTCTGAACTTGTTATTGGGGGGGGGGGGGGATCTGATTGAGGTGTTTGTGATTGTAAAGGGAATTGATAGTGTGGATGTATAATCTTTTTTTATATTTTACAGTGAGAATAGTAGGACTAGGGGACATTTTGGCAAGGTAGGAATCATCTTCAGCTAAGACTTTTATTTTTCTAACAGGGTGGTTGGCCTTTGGAATGGGTTGCCTTCTGATGTTGTAGAGGCAGTAAATTTAAGTGATTTTAAGAAAAAAGCTTGGTAAGTATATGAATGATAAGGGCTGGCTAAGATTGTTATTTTACTTTAGTTTAGAGGATGGAACAGCCAAGATGGACCCCCATATTGTTCCAAAACATTATGTTATACTATATTTGATTTATTTTAATGATTATTTTATTAAACATTTCAATCAATTTCAGCTTTTGAATTTATTGGTCCCCCTTAACATTTTCTGCCCCACATTTACCATAGAAGTTATGAAGAAAGTTACTTCATTATTTAGAAATTTGGTTTCATCCAGAAAAAATAAATAGATTATGAAAAATAATTTTCTATCTTTTACTGATTGATAATAATTCTCAATATTAGAATTTTATTATAGACAGGATGTTCCAAATTGAGAGAAGACACTGTAGTTGAAAGCTTCATAGGAAATGCCTCCAGCTTGATAGATTTTACAAATAATGGAGAGTTTGATGGAGCATATGTTGTAGGCGAAGAATGAGTTATATTGTACCAACAAATGTTATTGGACACTTCAATAGTTCTTTTGGCATACTATAATGTTGACTTAAGTTACCTTCACTTTACTTTTTTTTTGGGAGGGGGGGGGGGTTCTGTGCTCTGTCCACTGTGGGAAAACAAACCCTGGAATTTAGCATTGAAAGTTCCATAAATTTACCACTACCCAGTGGGGGTCACAATGTATAATCATTGGGGTTCCATTCCATGGAGAATAAGAAGTAAAAATTATCCTTTTTTCAAGAAAAGCCTGAAGAACAAAAAGTTGGTAGCTAACTACGAAATATTTTCTGAAGCTATTTATTTCAAACTTAAACTGCACAGTAAAATTAAAAGCTACTTTATGATTTTTCTCGTACCAAAATACCTATATGTAACCAAAGAAACACTCGATCTTTTTCATATTTACATTAAATGTGGATTTTTTTTTTATTGCTGCAAAAGTTAACTTAAACTAGATTGTAATTCAGTTTGTTTTAATATTATTGTTATATTACAAATATAACTAACTTATAACTAAATACCTAACTTATTCTTTTAATTTCTGAAGTGAGTTTTGTAATAATTTTTCTTAATCTATAGTGTTCAGGAATGCAGGAGGTCAAAAATGTACAGCTTGTTTAAAAGTGTAAGGCTAAAATGCAAAGAAATGTAATATAAATTTAAGGTTTTACTAATACAATTTAGACATGTTTGCAAATCACCACATCCTAGTTTGAAAAATTAGTGCATACAAAATTGCTGTTAATATTCTATTAAAACCTAAGCCAACAACACTTATATACACAAACCTTTTTAAGTTATAGCTGTAAAAATATTACATTGTTAATCACAGTGTTGAAGAATTGTGATAAGAAGTTCATACAAGTTTTCAAAGGATTTATAACTGTTTTTGACATACAAGAGTTAGATTAGTGTATTTTTTAGTAAAGACAGATAAGTGGTTTCAAGGTAACATGAGTTTTTTTAATAATTAATTAATCATTCTAAATCTGGAAGAGGTTTTGGATTTTAAACACGGGTATTTATTTTGAATTTGTTAAACATGTCAAGGTGTTTAAAATCTGTAAGTGCTTTGTAAATATGTTATAGTTTTTATTACTTAAATATGTCAACATGCCAAAAAATCAAAGTGTTTTAATTTAAAGCACTTAGTATTTAACTTTATTGAAGGTAGAAAAATAAAACAACATTACTAAAATAAATACTATAAATGTTAATTTTTAAACCACTAGTTTTTTTCCCTAAATGTTTTGATATTAATTTTTAAAACATCAGATGTTTAAATAAATACATGTGTATTTAGATTATGAATGCATCTTAAACAGATGACATATTTAATTATAGTAACTATAAAGGTGGTTAATTAATGTTTATAGAAGTATATATTTTTTAATCTGGTGGCGTTACTTCTTTATAATAAATAAATGGCTCATCAAAAGGTTGTTAATGAATTTATTTGCCTTTCTACTACTTCAAAGCCATGCATCCCAGATATAATAATTGCAATTATGATATAACTGGACTTGTTTACTGGTATTCCAGGATATAGTTCAATATTGTAGGAAGGTTGCCCCCATCTAATAAAAGAGAAAATACATTTACTAAATTTGGATTTTGATGAAGTACAGAGGGTAGGTTTGTCCTAGCTGCCATATAGGGACAACTATGTGCCAATTTTCAAAACTGTTTATATTTTGGAAGAAACTAATATTTTTAACGAACTATTT